GAGAATAAAGTTTGCAAAGTTGTGGAGTTGATCTATTTATAGAAGTCACTTAAGCGTATTGGGGAAGCTAAACAGCCGACCGCTAGTCGCCTCCAATTAATGACTTTGGGAACCGCACGAAAAGCAACCTTTCAGTCACTTCAGCCGCTGACATCACGAGATTGTCATTAGGATCGAGGCATCGAGCATCGAAGATCAAATCGTTTCTTATCGACCTACTCTAAGAAACGCGGGGACTATCTGTATACGGTCAAAATCATATGCCTCTGATTTATAGGCTCGAGGGTCCGTCCTAGGCCCGAGTCCGGGTGAGGTCGAGTTCGAGACCGGTGGAACAGACTCGAGCTCGAAGAACAGAATGCAATGCCCGGAGATAGGAGTTCGAGGAATACCGTCGCCAAGTATGCTCGACCCCTAAATAGTGTCGATATGGATTTGTAACAAAATGAGCTAGATTCCTGCCACGTCCCCAAGATCATGGAGCAAATCCCGGAATTGGATTGTACGATTCTATACTAGGCAGTTAGACAGCTGTATCAAGAATATTTCTTACTGTAAATAGAAATATACCTTATTTAGGGATTACCCTATTATATAAAGGGGACCCCAATCATTTGTAACATCATCTAATCATTGAGAAAAGAATATATTCTTTACTTTTTCGCCTACTGTTCATCAGAATTGTCCTTAGCTCTATTGTTCTTACTTTATTTTTCTTACTTAATTGTTCTTACTGTTCTAAGCCCACCTCGAGGTCACTAAGCTCGGGGTCATTGCTGTTGAGTAACATTGGTTTGATTCACTTGTCTTTTTCATCTCTACTTCATATTTCTTGATTATTAATTGGTATTAAACTAAATCACACATCTTTAAAACCACAAATCAAATTTAATTGTTACTCGTATTGTCGAGGTAAACACCACCTTTTCTTTTACCTACCTTTCTGGCCTTTTCAACTTTAAGGTTTAGAAGAAATCAGAAATCGACAATTTTAACTTAAAAGACCTTTCCACTTCTGTATTCATTGCTTGATGAATTCCATATAGAATATTGTGATGATGACAAATTAAAAAAAAAATTAAATCATCTTTAATTTTTTCCCTTAATGTTAAAGATATGATCCAATTTGGATTATTACCTCGAGTTCAGTGGTAAATTTTGTTTTACATAATTTTTTAAATTCTTATATTTATTTCAAAAGTAACGGTAATCCAGTTCAAAAGTTCATGTACGTAGGCCTTTCCTCAACTTCTGCCAGATAAAAAATTCCTAGATTGCCTTTGGGTGCATATAACTTATTTACCAAAACATTTACCTATTTACCAACAACATTAGAATAAACTGCTGGCGCGAAAGAAGAATAGAAGAGTTTGTGGTAGAAAGTCAAACACATAAGTATCTAATAATTAACACCAAATATATTTAGAGAAGAAATAAAAATGACAACTACAATGACACAAAGAATGATGATATATGCTTCTCCAGACGTTTGAGTTCTCCATCAAACAATTAATTCATTCTTGGGGAATATTTTAGAAGGAAGAGCAAAACGAGCGGAAAATGATCGACTAAGTTGTTGAGCGTCAGCCAAAATGACTGAATCTTGATCGAAATTCTGAGAATAAGAATGTGGATCATAACTGTTGGTTCTTGATAAAAGAAATTAAGGGAAATAATTGGGAAGATGACAAGAAAATAAAAAAATATACTGGAATAGATGTAAAAGAAACTGAAGCTGAAAATAATATATTATTTTACTGCATTTGGACTACAATTTATAAGAGAAATACTAACTTAAAAGACCTAAAAATCAGTACAAAATATGCTGAAAATAACTAACTCCTAGAGACTAGTTCACTCCTAAAGACTAGTTCAAAATTATTTCAAATTTAAACTAAATTACTGCAGTAAATAGCTGAAACAGTAAAATAATTTTACTGAGAGCAGCTTCTAAAGCATATTTCTAACACTCCTCCTTGCTTTTGAAGCTGCAAATTCTGAATTTGTCCCTTGTAAACCTTTAACTGGAAGCGACTTTGTACGTAAATCTGTCAACTGATCTTTGGACTTGCAGTGGATCGAGTTCACTTCTGTATTTTGCTGCATCTCATGAGTGTTAATGAAATAAGTTGGCTCGTTTTTCAGCTTCATTTGCATCTTGCCTTGAGACTTGTCAACTTTCTTCCAGAATTGCATTTTCTGAAATATTGACAACTTCTTCCTTACCTTATTTTCACATATGTCCTCAGTTGGAGAATTACCTGCACTTAGTAGATTCTTTTGGCTCCATTCTTCATCTTCGGTTGGATCAAATGAGAAATTTTTACCTCTCATTTTAACCCTTAAAATCTCAAGTCCAGTTGCATCATAAATGAAACAATATTTATCTTCAAAGGATACTTTAAATCCTTTTTCCATTAGTTGTCCAACACTTAATAAATTTTGATCAATATCAGGAACATAAAGAACATCTGAAATTTTCTTAGTACCTGAACATTGCAACAGTTCCTTTTCCTTTAGCAAGAATATAATCACCATTTCCAATTCTGACTTTCTTATTTCCTATAGACGTGAACTCTTTGAAAAGATTTCTGTCATTTGTCATGTGGTTTGTACAACCACTGTCAATCAACCAAAAATCAGATTTTTTGGTTGAAAGAATAGTTGCCACAAACAAGTGATCTTCTTCTTCTTCTTCATTGGCGACTTGGGCATCTGCTTCATGCTTTTGATATTTGCCTTTGCAAATTACAGCTTCATGACCAAGTTGGTTGCAAATTTTGCACTTTGCATCTGGCCTCTTTCAACATTTGAATGGTGGATGACCTTTTTTGCCACAGTGCTGCCAAGGCGGGTAATTTTTTTTAACATTATTACCCTTGCTTTGAGTTTTGTGGTTGGCTGCCAGGGCTCCTTCAACCATACCATCTTGCCTCATAAGCCTCCTTTGCTCTTGTGCCTGCAATGTATTTAACAATTCTGCCAAGGTAATCTTGGATAGATCCTTTGTATTTTCCAAGGTAGTTATGGATACTTCATATTTTTCAGGCACCGTAACAAGAATTTTTTCAACAATTCTTGAATCTTTAAATTTAGTACCAAGCAATCTTACCTTGTTAACAATGCCAAGCAACCGATCTGAGTATTCTTTGACAGTCTCAGATTCCTTCGTTTTCTGCAACTCGAATTCCCTTATTAAATTCAACACCTTCATGCCTCGTATTCTTTCATCTCTTGTATATTCTCCCTTCAGATAATCCCATATTTCTTTTGCTGATTTGAGAGCCATAACTCTCGTGAAAATTGTTGCAGACACACCAGCAAACAAAGTTGCTTTCGCCTTTGATTTCCTGGTTTTCTTTTCCTTGTGACTCTTGATCTGGGCCACCGTGGGATTGTTAGGCAGCGGAAGAACATCATAATCCTCTTCCACGGCCTCCCAAAGATCTAAAGCCTCCAAGTAAGTCTCCATTCTCACTGCCCACAGTTGGTAATTTTCACCATCAAAGACTGGAGGAGCCAATTGAGAAAAACTCATTTCAGTCTCCATCTCACTCAAGAAAAGATTTTACTTAGGTCCCTTAAGAAGATGTCTCTGATACCAATTGTTGGTTCTTGATAAAAGAAATTAAGGGAAATAACTGGGAAGATGACAAGAAAATAAAAATATATACTGGAATAGATGTAAAAGGAACTGAAGCTGAAAATACTATATTATTTTACTGCATTTGGACTACAATTTATAAGAGAAATACTAACTTAAAAGACCTAAAAATCAGCACAAAATATGCTGAAAATAACTAACTCCTAGAGACTAGTTCACTCCTAAAGACTAGTTCACAATTATTTCAAATTCAAACTAAATTACTGCAGTAAATAGCTAAAACGGTAAAATAATTTTACTGAGAGCAGCTTCTAAAACATATTTCTAACAATAAGTAAAGTAAACCGCATTGACCGTACCGTTCAAAAATTTTCTTCTTCTCTTTTTTCATCTTTCTCCATAGCAAGAATCAATATATATATAATTAGATGTGTGATTCTGTAATCTGTAGCAGTAACCAAGAACATTAAAGTCTTCCTTTATTATGTTAGTTCGGGCATAACCTAGTCAACTTCTGGCAAACCATAACCGAACAAGTAAGAATGTTGAAAGCATTAGTTGCTGATATCCTTAGTTTATTCAGGTCATCAAGATTTATAGTTAATATATGTTGATATGTAGCTATATATCCATTTGGTAAAGAAGATGGAGCTTGGCATATTCAGTGTATCAAGTTTATTAGCTCAATTGACTTTCTCGATTTCTATAACTTACTCTGTAGAAAATTGGAAGTTAGGGAACATACTTTATTTGACTTAATGTAATTTTGTCCAAGTTTTGTTTTACTTCTTATACACCAATAAAAAGTTGCAATTCTCTATTCAAATCAAATAAATCGAAATTCTCGAACCCAATGAAGCAAAACCGAGCAGAGAAAAATCAAACCATATAATATTATTACATATGGGATTAGTATAGCATTTTAAGAAATTAAAATTAAAAAAAATATCGAAGTAAAATATTAAATACTATAACATACTAACCGAGATATATTCTCCCAAATGCTATTTTCATTTGTTGGAGGTAATGCTAATATGCTATTGCATATCTCTTTATTCCAATTTGTGATGAATTGATGATTGATGTTACGAGACTCATTACAAAAATAGGTATAGTACAATTATAAGATTGTGAAGCAGATATAGATCTAGTTGTAAGGGATTTGACTTTTATAATTCTTGCGCAATATATTTATTATACTTCTAAAAATAATGAATTCAATTCTAATAATTGGCGTAAATTCGATTATGACTGTCATTTCTCTCTTGCCTTTTTCTATGTAGTAAAATCAATAAAGAGAAGAAAAAAACAGAAATTTTGGGGTTTCAATTACACACGTGTCTTGTTATAACCAAATGTCTTTTTATGCTTGTGGACTTTCCTCTAGCTCTGCTTTGCACCTTTTCGACCTCTATATAACTCCATTTATTTCCCTTCTCTTTCTCCATAATCCACTACTTCACTCTTCCTTTTCCTTAAAATTGTCTTTCTTTCCTTTATTATTTTCTTCCAAATTTATTTTCCAAAATGCAAGCCACCAATATTTTCCCTCTTCCTCAACCCTTTATTCACAAACCCCACATTTCTCCGTGTGTTACATGCAAAATTCTCATCAACACTTCAAAGCAAAACACTACAACAACACTTCCTTCTTTAAGACAAAAACCACCTTTGCCAGAGAAAAAGATTTTTCCATTAAACCCGGTTGAGTATGAACCGCCTAAATTGAACCCTTTTCAGAAACTTGCTGCTTCTTTCTTGGACGTGGTGGAGAAATTGGTTTTGACGGAATGGGAAAAGAATCACAAGCTGAACCGGACTGTTGACCCGGAAATTCAGCTGCAAGGGAATTATGCACCGGTTCAAGAATGTCCGGTTCAGCATGGACTTGAAGTAGTAGGGCACATTCCATCATCTTTGTATGGTGTTTACGTAAGAAATGGAGCTAACCCTTTATTTAAACCGATTAAAGGTTATCACTTTTTTGACGGTGACGGCATGATTCATGCCGTTACGTTGGGTTCAGGGAATAAAGCTAGCTATTCTTGCCGGTTCATTCGCACAAACCGGTTGGTCCAAGAAGCAGAATTAGGGAAACCGGTTTTTCCTAAACCGATTGGTGATTTGGATGGCCATTTGGGTTTAGCTCGGCTTGCTCTATTGTTCGCCCGAGCTAGCTTCGGTTTAGTGGATGTTTCAAAAGGATCCGGTGTAGCTAACGCCGGTTTGGTTTATTTTAACGGCCGGCTTTTAGCCATGTCAGAAGATGATCTCCCGTACTGTGTGTCTATTACAAAAGATGGTGATCTTGAAACAAATGGCCGGTTCAATTTTAACGGACAAATTAACGATCCGTTAATTGCACATCCTAAGGTGGACCCCGTAACAGGGGAGCTTTATACCTTAAGTTACAATTTGTTAAAAAAACCTTACCTCAAATTCGACACGTGCGGTCGTAAGTCACGTGACATCTCCATTTCCCTCCAAAAACCCACCATGATACATGACTTTGCCATCACGGAAAATCACGTGATCATCCCGGATTATCAAGTGGTATTCGAGATATACGGGATGATTCGGGGCGGGTCGCCCATGGTATTCGTCCCAAATAAAATCTCTCAATTCGGTGTGTTGTCGAAAGACGATCACGACGAATCGAGAATCAGGTGGGTCGAAGTTCCCAATTGTTTCTGCATGCATTTGTGGAATGCATGGGAAGAAGTTGATGAACATGAAGGTGCCACCGTTGTCATTATAGGTTCATGCATGAGTCCACCGGAATCCATTTTTTCGGAAAGTGATGATCCATTAACAAGTGAATTATCCGAGATCCGATTAAACCTAAGAACGGGCAAATCAACCCAACGGGTCATAACATCGGGTATGAATCTAGACGCAGGGCAAGTAAACAAGACTAGACTTGGTAGGAAAATCCGGTACGCCTTCATGGCTATAGTTGATCCATGGCCAAAATGTAATGGCATAGCAAAAGTCGATTTGGTCACGGGAAATGTTACAAAATTCTTTTACGGAGATGAACGATTTGGTGGCGAACCTTATTTCGTGCCAAGTAAAGGAGAAGAAGAAAAGGAAGATGAAGGATATCTCATGAGCTATGTGAGAGATGAGAGGAGAGAAAAATCTGAATTAGTTATAATAAAAGCTTCAAACATGAAGCAAGTGGCTTCGGTAAAATTGCCTCAAAGAGTGCCATATGGTTTTCATGGTACATTTGTTAGTTCACAGGATTTATACAAACAAATTCCATGCTAATATGATTAATAGTTTTAGTATACATAATTGATTACTTTTCAAGTACTATCTGTTTTGCTTGGTTGGATTATAATATCCTTTGTTGAATAATTAACAATTGTGGAATCTTTCAATTTTTCCTCCATTTTTATATATGGACAACTACGAGAGAAGACTACGAGAAACACTACAAAAATTTAGGACAACTTTAATTTTTATCAATGTTTTAAAAGGCGGGGGGAGAGGCGAGGCGTTTTACCTCTGACGAGGCGAGGCGTAAGCCCTGAGACATGGGGCGTAAGTCCCACGGATCTTTAAATTTTACAAATTTCAAGAAGTTTAAGATAGTACAAAATAAAAAATAATTATAAAAATTACATCAAAATCACAAAATTATAACAAATAATCTATTTAAAATATTTATAAATTATAATTCGGCTATGAATAATATGAGAAGTATGACATATATCATAATATGCAAATTAGTTGCAACGTCGTTACAACTCAAACATCAAAAGTAATGTATTCGATATGAAATCTTATATGTATCTCTTAAGGAGTAATAAATCTTGAAAGAATTTCAATACTATAATTTGATATTTTACTTAAATACTCCTTTTATTTAATATGATCTATTTGAAAGAGAATTTATGTATAAACATAATTCACAATTTAAAATTCTCTAGCATCATTTATTTTTAAGTTTTAACAAGTTAATAAATTGACACATAATTCATCATACAATATCATGATAACTAATTATTTGTAAATAATTACTAGCTAATATTGAGATATTAAATTAAAAAGTACTGTATCTTATAAACGTGAAAAAAATAATACTCAGAAAAATAATTATAAAAAAATTATGGACTATTATATAGTAAAGACATAACAAAAGTTAATAAATAAATACTTTCGAAAAGAAAGATTTATTTAAAATTTACTATCATAACAGTCTTAGTGGATAACGTGCAATAATTTTTATTTAATTATGACATGAAATTCTCTCAATTTAATGATTTATGATTAAGAAAAAAGTAATTTTGAATAGTCAACGATTTGGTAAGAAAATTTGAGGATTTACAAGTTTAGTACATACAATTGCATAAAGTTCTATTAGGCGAGCCCAGTACCCTAGGCGTTGGGCATGTCCGGGGCGTAGGCCCCAGTGGCCGAGGCGTAAGTCTCACGGAACTAATTCCCCACACATAAGCCCAGGGGCGTTTTACGAGTGCTCCGCCCCGGGGCAAGCCCCGAGCGAGTCCCAATTCTGCCTTTTAAAACAGAGATTTTTATCCACAATTCTTTTGCTAGTGTGAAAATGACGTGATGTACACTATTGTACATATATGTCTAATTGTCTATGACTTGGTTCAATACATAGTTTTCGCTCCATTTCTCTGAATATTAATTGTTATCAGAAAATGGAAGTAATAATAGCGTTAAATATAATGGTTTGGAATCATTTTCATATTTAAGTGAAGGTAGATTTTATCTCCCTCAGTCGAAGCTTTTTCTTACCTTTTGATAAGCTTAATTATACTGTAGAAGAAACAGCTGTACAGTCTAATGATTAAGTTAATACTGTGTAGTTAGTTAGTTAGTGAATAGTATAAATAGAAGGTAGTTATGTATACAGTATGCATGAAAATCAGTTGGAACAGTTTCTTTTCAATACAGAGAATGAAGCTCTCATTTCTCCTTCACCGACTTTCTTCTTCTCCTGCCATGGTTGCCTAGCTCAACATGGTATCAGAGCTTCAAGGTAGATCGAATAACTCAGCAGCTTCAGGAGAGGAAGATCACTGGTTCATAGCTTCCTTTTCTCTGTTTCTTTTCTCTGCTCCTTCCAATTTTTTCAGTAATTTCCTTGAAGTCGGGGTTTGCTTGATTAGGTCAATTTCTGTTGAAATTGAGTCATTTGCAATCTAAATCATCTCACTTAGAGAAGAGTGATACGATCTATAATGTCTACAATGGCAATCGATGATGGAACCTTAACTTCTCCCATGGCGACTGCAACTCAAGCTCAAGCACTACCTCCTCCAGATCTGGTACATCATAATCATCCTTTGTATATTCATCCTTCAGATACTCAAGGATCTGTTCTTATCTCAATTCAACTTCAAGGTTCTGAAAATTACTCAATTTGGAGTCGGTCAATGAAGATTGTTTTACAAGGTAAAAACAAACTAGGTTTTGTTTTAGGTACCTGTAGAAGAGAAATGTATGATTCTACTTTACATGAACTTTGGGACAGATGCAACGCTATTGTTCTAGCTTGGATAATGAACACAGTATCTCCTAGTCTAATTAGTACTGTGATTTATGCATCTGATGCTCATAAGGTGTGGGAAGATCTCAAAGAGAGGTTTGATAAAGTGAATGCCTCTAGAGCTTGTTATCTACATAAAGAAATTGCTGCATTAACTCAAGGCATATCTTCTGTATCTGTGTATTTTTCAAAACTTAGGGAATTGTGGGATGAGTATGAAACTCTAGCCCCTCCTCCTTCGTGTGGATGTCCAGAATCTGTCAAACATGCTGAACATTATCAATTGCAAAAGTTATATAAGTTCTTAACAGGACTGAATGATTCCTATGAGAATGCCAAGGATCAGATCCTTATGACAAGGCCCTTACCAAACATAAATCAAGCATATGCTATGATAGTAAATGTAGAAAGCCAAAGGAGAAGTGGCAGTAGTGGACTTAATGCTAGTATCAGTGTTGATGGCAATGATACAACTGCTCTACTAAGCAACAGAGGAAATAACAATGGCAATAATTCTGGTGGTGGCAATGTCCATTACAAAGCTAAGACAACCTACAGTTCTGGAAGGTCTACACTTCAATGTGACTACTGCAAGTTTAAGGGCCACACAAAGGACAATTGCTACAAGCTGCATGGATATCCAAAGGAGGCACTCCAAACACTTATGCTAACAATGTGTATGGTGCAGGAAATCAGGGATTTGAAGCTCAAGGATCATCTCAACAAACAACACCACCAGCTCCAGTTCAGTTCTTCACTTCAGAACAGTACAATCAGATTCTGCAAATGCTAAGAAAGGAAAAGAAGGAGAGCCTGTGGCTAATGCACCTCAAGTGGGAACAACAGGTATTCCTACTGCTCTATTGTCTAGTCTAGGAAGCCATAACTGGATAGTAGACACAGGGGCTACAAATCACATGGTACATCAGTTAGGCCTGCTTCACAAATTCAAAGAATTGTCTCAAATGGGTAAAAATAAGGTACATCTACCTACTGGAGAGCAAGTGACTATCACTAAGACAGGAGAAGCTCATATATTTCAGGACAAAATAATTAGAGAAGTCTTATATATACCTGAATTCAAATACAATCTATTATTAGTGTCAAATATTACCAAGGAATTACAATGCTGTACAGCATTCTTTCCTGACTTCTGTGTGTTTCAGGAACTCTCAAGTGGGAAGGTGATAGGGATTGGTAGAGAAGAGGATAGCCTGTACATTCTGAGGAACAGAGGAGACTCACAGCAACTCTCTAAAAATAAAGATCACATCAGTCAATCATCTGTAAATACCTCTTCAAGTTCAATAAGTGAAACTAGTTCCAATAATAGAACTAAGACTGTTGATTTGTCTCTTTGGCATAGAAGACTAGGACATGCTCCTATAAGAGTGTTGAGGAATATTGAAAGTCTGTGTAACTCTCCACTGAATAATCACATGTGTTCTGTATGCCCTATTGCTAAACAGGCAAGACTACCTTTCCATCTTAGTACTACATGTTCTGCTAAGCCTTTTGATCTTGTGCATGCTGATGTATGGGGTCCTTATAAGGTTCCCACACATGATGGTAGGAGATATTTCTTGACTCTAGTGGATAATTTTTCTAGATATACATGGCTCTTCCTAATGCCTACTAAGGCAGAATCTGTTGTAGTGCCAAAGGACTTTCTCATATATGTCAGAACTCAGTTTGATTGTGGAGTAAAATATCTCAGAACAGACAATGGTACAGAATTTTTCAATGATCAGATGAATACTTTTCTTAAGGAGTGTGGGACTATACACCAAAGTTCTTGTATATATACACCACAAAAAAATGGTGTTGTAGAAAGGAGACATAGGTATATCCTAGACATGGAAAGAGCACTAAGATTCCAAGCCTTTTTACCTTTAAGTTTTTGGGGAGAGTGTGTCTCCACAACAGTATACCTTCTCAACAGACTGCCTACTGTGTTATTGAAAGGTAAGTCACCTTTCCAGAAATTGTTCAACAAGGCTCCTTCCTTACAGCATCTCAGAGTATTTGGTAGTCTATGCTATGCTACTAATGTCAAGAAGGGTGATAAGTTCAGTCCAAGAGCAATACCAGCAGTCCATCTTGGATACTCCACAACTCAGAAAGGGTATTATCTCTATGACTTAGCCTCCAGGGAGTTCTTTGTAAGCAGAGACACTGTCTTTCAAGAAGACATCTTTCACTTCAAGCACAAAAATAATGGTCTTTCTCCTATATTTCCTGTGGTGCAACTGGTTGAACCTGATCCTCCTGAGTCCTCTATTGTATCTGCTCCATTTCATTCCCCTCCAAATTTCACTTCTGATGATGCTACTCAGTCTCTTCCTTCAGCTTCTGCTAGGGATCCCTCTCCTCAGCCAGTACAACCTAGAAGATCCTCTAGGGAATCAAGGCCTCCTATATGGTTGGGAGATTATATTGTTCCACATAAATCCTCCTCTTGCACATATCCACTGTCACACTATGTGACATATGATCATCTTACTCCTGCCTACAGGGCTTCTCTAGCCGCTTATTCAGCTATTATAGAACCCAAAAACTATGCTGAAGCCAGTTCTGATCCACTATGGGTGGATGCCATGAAGGCTGAAATTTCAGCTCTTGAGAGCAATCATACCTGGACAATTGTAGATCTTCCTTCTGACAAAGTTCCTATATGGTGCAAGTGGGTATTCAAGGTCAAGTACAAGTCCACAGGAGAAGTGGAAAGATATAAAGTTAGGCTGGTTGCCAAGGGCTATAGCCAGTAGGAAGGGTTGGACTACACTGAAAC